TTGTTTCTAAGCATTAGGTAAAAATCATCACTGCTTCCCACCCCAAATATGGTTGCACTCCTGGTTTTGTGGGTTCTGCTACTTCATTTTTAGATGGTGTTTTTCTTATTTTCTCTTGGAAAAAAAAAGAAAAGAAAAAAAAAATCTAGTGAGAAAAGTTACTTTGGTATCTTTCGATGCCAGCTGGTGAAAATGTCCTGTACAAAACCTGTGGTGTACTGGGTGTTGTGGCACACACTTATATCCCAGCGATTCAGGAGGCTGAGGCAGGCAAGTTCAAGGCTGGCCTGGGCAACTTAGCAAGATCCTGGTTCAAAATAAAAAGTGAAAAGCACTTGGGGATACAATACTCAGTAGTGAAAAGCACCCCTGGGTTCAGTCCCCTGTACCAAATAAATAAGTAAAATAAACTGTTGTATTTTTATAGGTATTCTGAGAAATCTATGGATAGTCACAGTATGGAAAATCAGCCTGTATGTAATTCAGAATACTTTATACCAGAAAATCAAGCCAATTCATTGTTTTTAGGAAAACTGAATTTTGAGTTCAGATCATGAAAATTACTTATATCAGTAAGCTCTGTAAATATAACATAACCAACTCTTTATTAATTTGAGAAATTTTCTTTAAAAAATTTTTTTTAGTTGTTGATGTTCCTTTATTATTATTTATGGATGGTGCTAAGGATTGAACCCAGTGCCTCACACATGCTAGGCAAGTGCTCTACGACTGAGTTAAAACCCCAGCCCAATTTTCTTATTAGTACTAAGAATAGCCCAATTTGTAGTAGTATTTAGTGGAATAAAAATAGAAATTTAAAAAACATTCTCCAGTGTCTGACTTTATTGTGAATACAGTAAACAATTGCTCACTTTGTTTATTTTAAAATGTTACATAAGGTTTGGTATAAATTGATGTATGATTTACAAGACAGTTTTGAATGCTTTTGTTTGTTTAATCAATATATAGTTGTTTTATTCCCATTTTCTGAATGAGAAATAGTCTAAAGGCACATAATCCCCTGCATGCTGATAACTCGTGAGTTTGGAACTTTGGTGGACTGATTATAATTCAGAAGTGTATTGATGGGGATGTAGTTAACTGATGGAGTGCTTGCCTAGCATGTGTTAGGCCCTGGATTCCGCAGCACCGCAGATACACACAAAATTCAATGACATATTAGGCTGAGCACAGTGGCTCATGTTTATAGTCCCGGTTACTGGGACAAATGAGAAGGATCATTTGAGCCTAGTAGTTCTGAGACCAGCTTGGATATTATCCCCCGCCTCCAAAAAATTGTCAATATTTCTTAAATTGTTGTATTCAATAAAATACTTACCAACATCTCTAAATGTCACTTCGTTGGTACTGGAAAAATTTTTTATTACATATTAAAAACAATGCCCATGAAATGTAATTTTTTTAAAATGCTAATTTTTAAGTTGTCAGTGGTCCTTTATTTATTTATATGTGGTGCTGAGAATCAAACCAATGTCTCAAACATGATAGGCAAGTGCTCCACCATTGAGCTACACCCTCGCCCCATGAAATGTGTTTATGTTTGGCCACGGTGAGTTTGAGACCCTGGTGTTGTGCATAGATGGAGGATGTCAATTAGATGTTAATCTGTGTTGAAAATGTAGAGCTGGTGCTGAGGAGAGATGTTGGAATAAAAGGTACAATTTTATGAAAAAGTAGCTGCAATATGAAATTATGAGGTTTGAGGTTAGAGTCTCATATTTTAATGGGGGAGAATTAGTCCATATTCAAGCATTAGTTAGAATTTTGCTTTCCAACTTTATCTTCTCCATCTTTCTCTTCTCTGCCAGAGTCCCTGTTTTGAAAGCAAAGAATATCTTGCATTTAAACCCTAGATAGGGTTAAACAATTACTTGTTTAAAATTAATCTTTTTAACTTATTTTTGTGGCAAATGGACTATTTGTACATTGAATAGACTTTATATTTTTCTAAATATTCTTTTCCTTTTTTTTTTTGTTGACTTGTAGCACGACCACATGATTTCTTCGATGCACAAACACTGGATGCGATAAGACACCGAGCCATATGCTTTAACCTCTCAGCTCATATAGAAAGTTTAGGGAAGGGACACAGCGTTGTTTTTCATAGTACCGTAAGTATTTAATTTTTCCTTTCAAATTATATATATGTATATTTGCGAGGTCTGGGCTGGGGCTGGGGCTCAGTGGTAAAGCACTTGCCTAGCTTGTGTGGGGCACTGGTTTCGATCTTTAGCACCGCTTACAAAATAAATAAAATGAAGGTATGTTGTCCATCTGTAACTACAGAAAAATTTAAAAAGATTTGCAAGGTCTATTTTGTTTTTAAAACCATACTCTGAATTGCTCAAATTCTAAGAAAATACATTTTAACAAAGTCACAAAACCTTTATGCTTTATCAGTATTTTAAAAATTATTTGTATTAGTGGTTATAAAGCAGATAATTCCTATAATTCTGTATGTTTATGATTAAAGTGAATAGTTAAGCCTTTTGTTTGAATTTTAAAGATATTGTGGCATAGTGTGCTACTTGTATTAGACTGAGCTTTGACCTTAAGTAAATGAGGTGTCTTTTCTGCCCTCTGTGGTGTTTTATTTTGTTTTTAAAGTAGAATACAAATTTTGTTTAGGTCTAAAACTTTTTATTCATACCCCATGTGTTGTGTAGACCTTACCCTCAATATATACATATGTAGTTAAAAAGTTATATATCATTGGCCATCAAATTAAAGTTTGTTGAGGGAGAAAATTTAAATGTTTTGTTTTACTGATATATTTTGGGTGTCTTGAATTTTGGCTAGCACATGGTAGACATTCAGTATATTTGTTGGGTGACCAGGTTTTCAACACAGAAGAAAAATAATTAAATTGAAAAAACAAGAAGTAAGTATAGTTTACTTTTAGGTTAACTAAGAGTTAATATAATTGTTTTCTTTCATGTCTCTTTCCATTTGTTACCTAATCATCAATCCACCACCCTACTTCATTCTGGAGATTAAACCCAGGGCTGCCCTTATCACTGAGCTATATCCCCCAGTCCTTTTTATTTTCAGACAAGGTCTCTCTAAATTGCCCAGGCTGACCTCAAACTTGCAGTCTTCCTGCTTCAGCCTCCCAAGTAGCTGGGATTACAGGCATGTGCTACTGTGCCCAATTCTAGTCCTTTTTAAGTTGGTGTAGTTTGGTGTAGGTAAATTAGTAAAGGTGAATTATAGACCAGATTATTGATAATTTGAGTCCATAGAAAAAAAGTAATTTTCACTGTTGAAATATTAAATATTCTAAATTTGGTTTCCTCTAACAAGAAGTTAATATTAAAATAATTGTTGACATCTATATCTTATTGGATTTGAATCTGCTTTCCCCATCTCCTGTAATGAGATTTTCTTGGCAGTTTTACTTTTCCTTACATTTATAGCTATTTCCCAGTTATTAGACTTTTTTGTATATTTGTGTATACTTCTGTTGCTCTTTCTGACCCTTTTGATTTCTCATCTGTCTTGCTCACTAAATATATGTTACCTGTTATATTCCCCATTCCAATCCATTTTAGAAAACAACTTCCAGTACTACCATTATAACAATCTACTCTGCTGGGTCTCTCCAATATTCTCATTTAAAAAATAAGGAAATGTTCCAGTAGTGTATTTGTGGATATTTATCATAAGAATTGAGTGGTAAAATACTGTTAACTACTTTCTGAAGAGAGTTGGAAATAAGATCTTACAGTATTTGTGTTTGTCTTAGTAGGAATTGAACCTACAGTATTTTGCATGCTTGGCAGATACTCTACCACTAAGCTACCTCTCCAGCCTTTTAAAAGTATTTTAAAAATTTGAGCAGGGTCTTACTAAGTGTCTAGGCTGTGCTCAAACTTGAAGTCCTTCTGTCTCCTCCTGAATTTATAATATTTTATTTTTATGTGATATAATTTTAGTCTAGATTAGTCTGGATGCAAGGATATATAATTTTATAAGCTCTATTAAGATTGAATGGGTCAAGAAAATAACAATGGATTGTATTTATGAAATAAAACTAAATGGAGGCAAACTTGATCAATTTAAGACAAATTATTAAATATATTATATAAAATTAAATTGTAGATATTTTTAATTGATCACACAGCACTGCTGTTACTAACTCAGATTTTTCAGATGACAAAACTAGGAACTAAAAATGTTCTGTGCCTTTTCCAGTATGACACAGTGTAGTTACATATGTATGTACATAGTGTAGTTACATAGGGCTTAGGGACCTCTATCCCTAGGTTGATTCATGGATTCCATAGTGAGAACCCTTGTGGTATTAGACTAAAATATGTGATGTTAAAAGGAATATAGAAAAATAGAGCAATATTTAAGTATCAGTATACTCGAAGCAAGCTTTTTAAATAATTAGGGGTGGAATTGTGAATATTGGAAATTAGGTAAAGATATGAGTGTGAGAGAGTAAAAAATTGAAGATGTGTAATTAAAGGAAAGAAAGTAAAAGATTGCATATAGAAAGAGGAAAGGGAAATTTTATTTGAAATTGTAAGATGTGAGGTGTGTGTGTTTGGATTTGAAGAGAGGTATACGATATTTATATTTTTTTAAAGAGCATAGGAAATATATTTATCTAAATAAGGATGAGAGAATTGAAGGGGAAAATATAATGTTTGGAGACCGGAATGAGTTAAAATGGCTACTTTGGGAATTTTGCTGTGATATCAAGGTCAGGGGCTTGCTCAGTAGTGATGATAGAAGTCCTTTTTTTAAAGCTTGTAAACATAGGTTTATAATGCGGTAGGTCTGAAATTGGTTCTTTTACTTATTTGCAAAGTTTGGCAGGAATTTCATGTAAGGCCTTGTGTATGCTAGGCAAGTGCTTTACTACTGAGATATATTCCCCAGCCCCCAGAAGTCTTTATTTATTTTATTATTATTTTTTTCATTTAATTTTTTGCAGTACTAGGTATCAAATCCATGGGTGCTCTGCCACTGAGTATAATTCCCAGTCTTTTTGTTTGGAGACAGGGTCTAGTTAACTTGCCCAGGCTAGCTTTGAACTTACGATCCTCCTGCCTCAGCCTTCTGAATTGTAGGAATTGAAGTATACCACCTCGAAGTCGGTCCATTTGTCTATATGTCTGTCGTTAAACAAACAAACAAACAACAACAAAAAAAAGGTCAATAAAGATGTGGTCACCAGGCTGAGTGTGGCATTAGGGCCAATTTGTTCATTCATGTAATTATTGAGGACTTACTGTGAGGTCAGGTACTAATGGTATATACTAGGGAAAACAAATATGGTACACTGTAGTGGAAGAGACATGATAAATAAAGGAAGTTAGTAAAATTGTAAAAACTTGAAAGAAAAAGGACATTTTAACTAGAGCGGAAAAATGCCTGGTATGTTTGAAAAGCAGAGAAGAGGAAGATCAGTGTAGCTGGAGAGAACTAGACAGCAGGAGTTAAGTCAGATAAGTGGGAGAACCTTGTAGACTTACTCTGTGTGAGATGAGAAGCCATTGAAGGAATTTGAGTAAGCATGATCTGACTTTCTTCCTTGATTTTTTAATTGAGGTATAATTTACATAAAGTAAATGGCACCCAATTAAGTGTACAATTCTGTGAATTTTGACAGTTGCATTCACCAATGAAACAACTACTACAGTTAAGATATAGAATATTCCCATCACTCTCAGTGTTGCAGTTAATTCCTCCACCTTTTCCTCTAAAGAATATACTATTGTTTTGACTCTCACAGACTATAATGTGCTTGCTTTGTTTTTGGTGTTGAACAGATTGTAGGAGGTCAGGAGTAGGGAGAAAAGAGTTGAGTCTTTCAGTTGAGACTGATAGTGGCTTGGTTCAGTGTGGTTGCAGTGGAAATGGTAAGGACTGCATCTTTTTTAAAAATTTTTAATTTGTTAAACATGACAACAGAATGCATTACAATTCATATTACACATATAGAGCACAATTTTTCATATCTTTGGTGTACACAAAGTAGAGTCACATCCTTTGTTTCTTCATACTTAGGTTAATGATGACCATCCCATTCCACTGTCTTTTCTACCCCTATGCTCTCCCTTTCCCTCCCTCCCCTTTTCCCCTTTGCCCTATTTAGAGTTCATTTAATGCCCCTGCCCCACAGCATATTATGAATTAGCATCCTTAAATCAGAGAAATCATTCAGTATTTGGTTTTTGGGCATTGGCTAATTTCACTTAGCATTATATTCTCTAGCTCCATCCATTTACCTACAAATGCCATGATTTTATTCTCTTTTAATGCTGAATAATATTCCATTGTGTGTATATACCATATTTTCTTTATCCATTCCTCTACTGAAGGGCATGTAGGTTGGTTCTACAGTTTAGCTACTGTGAATTGTGCTGCTATAAACATTGATGTGGCTGTGTCCTTGTAGCATGCCATTTTTAAGTCCTTTGGGTATAGACCAAGGAGTGGGATAGCTAGGTCAAATGTTGGTTGCATTCCTAGTTTTCCAAAGATTCTCCTTACTGCTTTCCATATAGGTTGCACCATTTGTGGTCCCACCAGCAGTGTATGAGTATGCCTTTTCCCCTGCATCCTCGTCAACACTTATTGTTGTTCTGATGGGAGTGAGATGAAATCGTAGAGTAGTTTTGATTTGCTCTTTTCTAATTGCTAGAGATGTTCAACATTTTTTCATATATTTGTTGATCATCTTCTGAGAAGTGTCTGTTCAGTTCCTTGGCCCATTTATTGATTTGGTTATTTATTTATTTATTGGTGTTAAGATTTTTGAGTTCTTTATGTATTCTAGAGATTAGTGCTGTATCTGACATGCATGTGGAAAGAATTTGTTTCCAATTAGTAGCCTCTCTATTCATCTCACTGATTGTTTCTTTTGCTGAGAAGAAGTTTTTTAGTTTGAATCCATACCATTTATTGATTTCTGATATTAAAATTGTGCCATAGGAGTCTTATTAAGGAAGTTGGGGGCTAATCTGACATGATAGAGATTTGGACCTACTTTTTCTTCTAATAGACACAGTGTCTCTGGTTTAATTCCTAGGTTCTTGATCCACTTTGAGTTGAGTTTTGTGCATGGTGAGAGAGAGGGGTTTAATTTCATTTTGTTGCATATGGATTTCCAATTTTCCCAGCGCCTTTTGTTGA